TATAAGTCTGGAATAATTCTGTTAATATCATTTTTATCTTATAGTATCAGCACAAAATATAATGTTATTAAATGAAATATAATGTTATCGGAATATGACATGAAAGGTTAAAATTTTAAACAAATCAAAATGTCTGAAACCTTTATTGAAAAAGAATAAACGAAATTGATTAATGTTAATGGATTATTTAAAAATATTTAAATTCTAAGCAAACAGTATGTTTCAAATCAATATTGCTTAGCAAAAAAAGAAAAAAAAATCAAAAATAAGTTTTGGAAATCATTACTTTATACAGTAATTTGATAATGTAAAGTAGTGTAAATTTCAATACATGTAATACTTTTGAAGGTAATGTCTCTTTATCCAAATATTTTGCTAATTTCATCTGATAATTTATTAATTTTATTCAATAAATTAAAAGAGTAAAAAACAAAAGAATAAATTGCAGATGAATTTTGATTAAAGTGTAAATATAATGAGCTAAGAAAAATTCTTTGATAATTTCATGATAATTGTTCAACTAATAAATTAATATTATATATCTTTTCAATATTTAACACTGTAAAAGAAAAGATGATACATTTCCGCCATCTTTTTCATTCTTATAAAACAGGTATTGATGTTCCAATATATAATAACGGATATGAACAAAAATTTTGCGGGTAAAATATGATTGGGATTGTTAATATCAAAACACTGAAAAGGTCAAGCACTGAAAAGGACAATGATAAATAGGAAATTTAATTTTGATGAAATATTTCTCAAAAGTAGTATGAAGAGATTGTTATATCCTAAGGGAATAGTTTAATCCGTAACACTAATCTCTCATCTTTCTGCTTTCTTTTCCTGATTTTACAGGTAAAATGTGAAATAGATATAGCTGTTAACCTTTATTACCCTTCTCATGCCATCTTTTTAATCAAATACTGTGCAATTCATCAAATCATTTCCCTAATCATCCTTACATTTTTCCACTCTTTCGCACATTTCCCTCTCCCTCTTTTAATTTCTTGTTCTTCCACATCCATAAGACAATGATATCCCTCCCCTGCACCTATATATATATATATATTGAAAGAACTGTTTCACCGTAAATTCAGAATTTAGTCACATATCGGTTGACCAAATACATTCTTCTCTTCTTTGTATTGCAAACGGAGAAAGAACCGTTTTTGTTATCATTTCTGGATGTCGAAATTCCTAACATTTCATTGAGAATTTACAAATTTATTACTGTCATTATCTTTATCATTGATAAGATCATAAGAAAAAAAAAAGGAAAAAAAATGTTACGCATACAAACCTGCTCATTTTTATTCTACATAATAGTAGCTATCATTAATGCTATTCCAATTGATAATGGTGTCGAAGGTGAACCGGAAATTGAATGTGGTCCAACAGCTATTACTGTAAATTTCAATACGCGTAATAATTTTGAAGGTAATTTACTTTTTTATCCAAACAATTTTTTACCGTTTCTGGAATGCAATCTTATGAATTTTTTAAAATTCATAAAATTTATAATACATAATTGAAATCAATTCATTAACATTATTAAAGTAATTGTGGGAATAATCGGTATTAAAAAAAAAAAAATCGAAACTTTGTAAGTTAATTTATTTCAGGACATGTGTATGCTAAAGGATTTTATGACAATCCAGATTGTCGTAGTGATGAGGGTGGACGTCAAGTAGCCGGTATAACATTACAATTTGATTCCTGTAATGTGGCTCGGACAAGAACCTTAAATCCACGTGGAATATATGTTACTGTTGTTGTGGTAATTACATTTCATCCACAATTTATAACAAAAATTGATCGATCGTACAGGATACAATGCTTCTATATGGAAGCCGATAAAACAGTTAGTACGCAAATTGAGGTTTCCGAAATGACAACCGCTTTTGCCACTCAGTTGGTACCAATGCCTGTTTGTCGATATGAGGTAAATTTCATCATTCATTTCAATCATATACTTTCCCCCTTGTTTCTATTGTTCTGCAAAATTTTTACCCAATTATATGTTAAATTTATGGTTTTAATTGGAAAAACAATACTTAT